AGTTTGTAACTTACATTCCTGACGGGGTACCTGAGTATATGGCTCTGTAAAAATGATTGCAAAGGGATTGCAAATCTCTGTTTAGATTGCTGTCTAAGTAGAGAGTAGATGATTGTAGTTTACGCTACATAATAACATGACTTCAAATACTACACAAAAAATGAAGCTTACATTGCTTACATTTGCATGCAAGTGACTGGTAATGTCATATAATTCTCTAATTTGTACACATTTGATACTCCAGATGTGCAATGTTTTCAAACCACAGCTTATGAGCAGATGTGATTTACACAGCAATATAAATCGCAGCTTCCTAATGCTAGTTAAAGGGTGTAAACTCAAACAAATGTGAGATTTACACCAATTTGGTTTAAGAGCAACTTTGAAAGGCTGTTTAGCTCTACATTTAGAAGCAACTGAGAATGATTATTTATGCATGTTTACACTGAATGGAAAAGTAAAAGTCTTATGAGTCATAACTCAAATGTGAAAAATTCCATGCTAGATTATCTTTAGAAATTATGTTCAGCCTTTGTGTTCCCTAATAGCAAGCAAGGCAAGGTGTGCTCCTCAATGTGAACACAAGTGTACACTCCTGGTCTGTGGTCAGAGCTAGCATGAGGCTATAGGGGCTGTTTGCTATTCTCATACCACATGATTTTCACTGCTGCATGTGCCAGTCTACTCAATTCCACATCATATATTATATTCAATAGCAACAGGCTTATGTCATAAAAGTATCTCTGCCATGAGGATAAAGGCCATTTCCAATGATTACTGATTCCTACACAGATTTGAAATCATATACTGGTAGGTATGAATGAATGGAAATTATTTTTTTACAAGGTCAGTATAAACTTTGTACTTTTCTCTTTATGACTGACAGGGTATGTGATAATATTTCCTATATCTGTATTGTAGAGATGTATTGGTATCAATCAGAACAGTATCTAATAGATCAGACAGTGTAAATAATAACCACCAATTAAATTAATTATACTGGTAAATATATAGGGTAGCAACTAATACTTTTCTCTTTACTTACCTGGTTATCCTAAGAATTTGTATGGCTCTATAGCCATGGTATTTTAGTATCTCCAAACCTTTAAATCTATGATCTCCATGCAGGTCTGATGCATAGTAGTCCAATTAGCCCTGTATAGGTGTGACACTAAAGTCCTAAGATGAATGACTGACTCAGAATCATCTCAGAAGTCTATGACCTCTTGATTCACCTGCTGGCTGTGAAGAATTACTCTCTCTCTTGCATAGATGGGAAGCTGAGTCATAAAGAACTAAAGTTACATGCCCATAAATACGTAAATAGCAACAGAAGTGGAATGAGAACTCATGATGTACAAATCCTCAGTCCCTGTCTAGTTGCATTAAGTTACTCTCTCTCCTGTCTTCAGTGAACTGATCATATTTAGTAAAATAGCCAGCAGTTGTTGCTTTTTGCAGTGCAGTGCTTCTGTGATGTGTGTGGACTTAGAAATAACTGCTTATCAGGAAGTTGAATTAATTGGGTAACAACACAGCTGCTTAGTACATTGACAGTTGAATTTATCAGCCCTTTTGCTAAACTGCTGCATGAGTTTGGGCAATTACTTCACATGCTGCCATTTTTCTAATTCAATATAGGAATAATAACATTATTGGACATACGGGCACAAAAATCTCTGTAATAGTGCTGTTCTGTTTCTCATTTAAGACATTGGAATGAGAAAAGGGAAGGGACAAAGAGAATAATAAGTTTTCCCATTTAGTTGAATGAAGTTTCTATGACACAACTCAAAAATCTCTTGAAAGAAAAATGGTTGGTAAGAACATTTTAGTTTTAAGTTTTACCAGCAGACATGTCATTCCAGGGCTGTTGGGCTTCTGTGAAGAGGATAGCCTCTGCAGCTGTGGTTCTGCAGCACCCTTTGCCAGTCAGCACAGGATGGAGCTCTCTGGGTGTGTCTCAGGGCTGTTTTTATTTTCCTCCAAATACAGTATAGAAGTGTGGAATTTGGCTATATGTAGCAGGCATGTAACTTCAAAACTGGCTATGAAAGGGTTAAGCCGATTAATGGCAACCTTACAGTAAAATTGAGGGAGGTGGAACTTAAGTCTCAAGTCTTAATAAAATGCAGGTGTTTTGCTGTTAGGTTTAAAATGTCTTAAGACTCCAGCAAGCAATTGAAAACTAGGGAAAAAACGTGCTATTGAATAAGAAACTTGGAAACACAACAACAGGTAGTGCAAGGCATCTACAGAGAATTCAGTTTTCACTGGCTAAGGTCTGCCTCAAAGTTCACAGGGTGAAAGCAAAACATAAATATTAACTGAGAAACACCTCTCACAACATGCATCTGACTTCTGAGGTATTACAACTAGGATTAACTTTTGACATTATCCTTTCCAACATTATGACTTTGCTGTCTTGCTGGCTCCATGCAGAGTAGTTACACTCATTTTGCAACCTTTCTTCTTCTTTCCCAGTCTGTTTGGAGTGTTGGTGGGGTGACAGGTAGTGTAAGCACTGCATTCACAGTGTACAGAAAGATCTGCTAAATCATTTGCAACCGCTTTTATGTCAGGAATAGGGATTTTTTTGTGTGTTTGGGGGAACCAAACTACTTTTAGAACAAACTAATAAAAAGAAGTTGTAAAGAAAGCACCAATCACTATTTTCTTCTCTTTCAATTCCCCCTCCTTATCACAAATAATTTGTTAGTAAACAGCACTGCTTAGGTCACAGAGTAGAGGGATTGCACTGAACTTTGATCTTCAAGTTCTTAACTTATTTGGGGAATTAACATAGATACAGCTTTCTAAAGGGAACTGGAACCTGAAGAACCAGAGAAGACTAAATGTATTTACAATTGCCCAAGATTACTGTGCCAACATCCCTATGGGCCTTTTCTGAAGATGCAATGGAAACAGACTACATCTTAAAAGAGGAGCAAAGAGTAGAAATCTTCACTAATAGTATCTCAAAAATCCTGGTAGGAATCTTCAAGTTGGCCTGAATGTGCTCAGGATCATACCCTTGAGGAAAGAAGTATTTGTCAGCATTTGGTATCTGCTCACAATTTTAGATCTTCCCTGGCCTTCTCATTTCCTCTTTTGCTTTGTAAGACTGCTTTCATTCCACTCCTACTCAACTTTGCAGATGCCAGTTCCTGTTTCTAATGTCAGCAGTTCTCAATCTTCTCAGATAACCCTGTTGTTGTTTGTGCCTTGCTACGTGAGGGAAACAACCCATGCTTTCTGTTCCCTCCTAAAAAGTCACTGCTGCTCTAGCTCCAGCAAACCTAACCCAGCCCCTGCTCTGCTCAACTTCTGCCCAAATCCAGTATGTCAGACTGCAAAAAACTAGAAATGCCTGTGGGCTCAGTGTGGGGAAATAACCAAAATCAGTGTTAGAAGCATGGGTTCTTTATTCTCCATCAAACTGGCCTTTATTTTTAATTTTTAGCCTTGCAATTATTCTGGAATTTTCTGATATGTGTTGTTTCTGGGAGCCACTAAAAAGTAATGGATGGATTTGCAATAAGATACGTATAGCTCTGCTTAAGTGGTTTTAAATTAGTTTGTATCAACTCTGAACTAGTAGTGACATCAGTCATTGAAAAACTCAAGACAAGTTCTTTATACTAGTACTAAATATTAGCAATAATTGTTAGTGTTAGGCCTCTTAGTTAACTTTGCAGATACTGCTAACTATTCCATATCATATAAAAGAAAGAAGGATTCTTCCTCTAAACACTTTATGTGCTGTAAAATTGTGTTATATTTGAATCCAAGAACTAACCAATAACCTTTGTATCCAATAACCTCTTGCAACCAATAACCTCTTAGTTCTTTTATTCCTCCATCTTTGTGTGATGAACATTCCCCTTCAAAATTTCATTTGCCTCATGTATATTTGCTTTAAATGCCTGAAATGGAAACAAATTTCTTCACAACTTTATTCTGTACATAAGAAAAATGTAGGTAACTGCCTGTAAAAGAAGCAAAGATTCCCATATAAAATAATAACAATAATAATAATAATTTGATTCTGGAGAGTGGCATCAAGAGTGAGATTGTGCTAATGGCACAGAGAACAGAAAATATTAATATCAGAATATCAAAGAAGACCAAAATCGATGCTTTCATGCTATCTACTAAGATAGTATCTTAGTGTATTTTAAGGAATGGTTAAGGATATTTTTAATCTTAGTCTTCAATTTTTGTAAGTGGAGCAAAGAAGGGTCTCCCTTAGTTTATTTTTTATTTCCTATAGCCTAGTCTAAAACATCTTAGCATTGTACCTTTCACAGGCGACCTGTAGTTTTTTTTATGAGTAAAATGTCTGAGGTGCTTGCATGTGGAGCAGCAGGACCTGATGCCCTTAATTTCACAATAGCTTAGAAATAGGCTCAAATGGCAATGGTGCTGATGCCTCCACCCAAGCCAGGGCTCAGAAGAGATAGGTACAAGTAGTACAGAACTGTTTGCTTTCCCTTTCCCTTGCTTTACTGTGGGATACCCACAAACATTTAATTAAAGCTATTGTATGCATGCTTAACTTGGAGCTATCTGTGGTTCCTTGAAACCGTTATACAAGAGCACCAAAGAAAATACAAGGGAGTCACTGAAGAAAAATACAAATGAATTAGAAAAGCATAGCAACCAGAGAATACATTTCCCATAATACAACAGTCAAAGGTCATGAGATCACAGATGCTCAGTTGCTCATGCATATCATCTATTCTCTCCACTTGCATGCTTGCTCCGGAGAGGGCAAAGACTTAATGAGGATGGGGCTAGCATTAGCAGTTCTCACCCTTCCTCACACCCTACATCTCAAAGAGCACTGAAAGCCTCTTTGAAGTTGGAATAGACATACATTGAACTGTCCCAATGCACACATACAATCTGGAGTTTTCTCATCAGGTACAAAAATACAAGGTGACTGTTCTCTTCCGGCTGCCCTGGATGTGAACAAAGCTCTTGAATCAAAGACTTACTGAATTGAGGAGCTGAACGAAGTTTCTCCATTGCATCTGTCTTTTCAACCTGCAGTAGCAGCCCTTCTCGGTCTCACGGTTTCTATTAGTCGGTTCACTTTTCCCAGCTCCTCAAGAAGAAATCCTGTTCAGACAAAACAGCAGACTATTTACAGGAAGCTTGGCAGGGTCAAAAAGTGACTGTAAAACGGAGCTCTTGTTAAAACACATACAGCATTTGCTCTGATGTAGATACAGCTAGGACTCAGCAATCTCTGATTTGCTATCAAGGCCTTGAAGGTGATCTCAGAGTCAGATTTGTTAAACTTGGTGACATTGTGTTGTTATCACTTAGCAGAGCTAACTCAGTTGCTCCAAGTCCCACTTAATCTGTGCAGCTCTCTACTCACAGCTTCTGACCTACTTAGTCACTTCCGGTCTTTGATTTTAGTCTTAAAGCCTCTTTTCTGTGTTGGCATGTGACTGCCATTTAATCTTAATCAAACTTCCTTGAACCTCCATTACTGTCAAATACATCTTCTCTCACCATAATACCCACCCTTCTGAGTGCAAGAAAACTGATTTACAGCCAACAGTCTGCCACTCTGCTCTAAGTTCATCTTTGCTTTGTTTTTCTTCCTGTATGAGTCACTTCTTCCCCCTCTCTGACACACCATGCTACACTTGGTTTCCCTTGATCTGTCAGTGGCTGAGATGCTGCCCTGCACACCTTTACTGCAGTGATCTGGTGATTATTATAACAGTGTGTGCCCAGCTACTGTGTTCAGATTCAGAAGAAGCTTAACACAAAGACATTGAGTTGGCCACAGGCTGTTTCAGAAAGTCAGTTTATTTAATAGGCTTTTGCCTCTGACCAGAAATTATGACCAACTCAGTTCCCTTATACCTTGCTCAAGAGCACAGTGTGCAAAACACAGCTGTTTAATCTATGCCTCCCCACCTACCATCTCTCTCCCCTGTTACTTCAGGGCACTTGTTAACTTTACAGAGGCTGAAAGTCCTTACTAGCTTAAGAAATTTCCCAGTCGTCACTTGTTCTGTATGCTGCAGTAATGTGCCTTTGAAATAGACTCCTTCAGCCAGTTTCTTTCCGTGACCAGAATCCAATCTAAAGATGTTAATCCAGTACCATGGTGATTTTTGCCTGCATTGGGGCACTTCCAAACTGGTGGGGTCTGTTGATTTTTGAGATTCTTTCACCAGGACAGAGAAGTTCAAAGATATGGCCTGGTGCTCTTAGTGGCCCAATGCTCTTTGAATGTCAGATACAAAACATTTAGTGGGAATGTGTTACATCTGTGTGTAACATGAAGGAGAGATTTGTTCAATCCCCTCCTGCATGTAAGCTCTTTCCTGACTTTTTTCAATATGCCCAGTTCTGCTTTGCTCTCTTCCTCCTATTTCTGTGCTCATCAACACTCATCCACTTTTGGGTCTTGTTAACACCTGGAGGTTATGTGACCCATCACGTCGTCCTCTTAGGAGGCAGTAAATACCATACATTTTGGAAGGACAAATTAGCTACAGGCCATTCTTACTAAGCCTCTCCTTCAACTTATCTCAAATTGTATTTTTGAACTGCAGTCACTACACACTGTAAGTTGAAAACAACCACTTGAGCCCTTTCCAGCAAGGCTTTGATACTAGGCCTGGAGGAGAGATAAGCAGCACATTGAAGTTGTGGTATCACTGTAACTGAGGGCAAGGAGTGAATGGAAACATACCCTCCTTCTGGCACTGCCTGGCTCTGGATGAGGGGAGAGGAACGAGCTGAGCAGCTTGGGTTCACATGCATGGCAAGAGCCAGCAGCCTCTCAGCTGATGACAGATTAGACTCAGGGCCTGGTTAGTGGGAAGCCTGTGATTAGACTTCAGCAACATCTGTCTCTAGCACTAAAGAAATCACTGCTATGGGCTGTGATTTTCTCAGCAAACTGTAATTATAGCAGGAACCTCATTCCTGCTATTTTTCTCAACAACTTAAGTGCAAAAAATACGTGAGTAAGGGTGCGGGAAAGCTGAAATTCTGAAAGGAGCAGGAAAGAGGCACCTGTTTCTTTTTGTTCCGCTCATTCCAATTATTTTCTCTCAGTTTCTTAGATTTGTATGAATCATAGACTGTTTTTTTCCTGGAAATCAGTGCCAAGGTTTAACTACCTGAAGTTGGCCTGCCATCCAGCTGAAGCTGATAGCACACATCCTCTCTGTCCACTTATGTCCCACGGAATCTTAGACAAGTGTGGTGGCACTTGCAGAAGGTGTCATACCAACCTTTCCTTGCTAGTGCCACCTCTTTCCTCCCATGGGGGTAGCAGTATGGAGTGCTGGTCTCTGATCACAACTGTTCTCAGGACATTCCCAGGAACGTATGGCCTGGGCAGAAGTGTGGAATATGGGAGATTGCTCAGGGTAAGTTTAAAGCTTACTCTGAAAGGTCCTGTCCCGATTATGATTTAAGAATTTGAACTTTAAAAGTGTTAGGTTGTATACAATAACTCTCTGTTTTAAAAGATACAGAAAATGCTGTAAAAGTTTGAACTCCCAGTAACACCTGGTAAATTTTGCCAAAATAACAATGTCAAAAAAGAGCAGGATTTCCTTGCAAGATTTCTCTGCCAGAAAAATCTTTTTGTTTGTGCGGTTGTAACTCCATAGTTACTCATTTGCCATTCTTTGCTCAGAATATAAGATGAAACAGATTTTTTTTTTAATGTATGTGTAGGAGATGAGGAGAAATATCTAAGAGAGAGTTTACCATCCAATAATTAAGATGTAGACAAGGCCAAAATGATTCAAACTAACCCATATACTTCTTAACTTTTCTCACAGCATTAATGTGACTTTTAGTATACTTTGAAGTCAAGAGTGTCTTGTCTATGTTAAGCAATTTTATATCAGCACCATACTCATCTAGAAGAAAGCAGAATTGTTCCTTACCAGCATGTCTGCCCTTCATCCTGCAGCACATCTGGCAGCACAGCCAGGGATGAGACTGTGGCAGCAGGAACTTGACCCTTGGGTCTGAAAGCACTGGGAAGGCTGCACATTGGCAAGCAGATCCCTATCTCCAGAGCCAAGCCTCTGCAGACTGGTGACACATCTGGAGTAGTCTGGAATTGGCACAAATGCCTGTGGATGAGGAGGAGAGAGGAAAGGTTAGAAGGAAAGTGGAAAAAATGCCTCTTGCACATTTCACTTTCTTTTCCATCTGCTTGTGTGCTGTTGCTGTGAGCTATTAAATAGCTGCAGTGCTCTCTCCCAGAAGGGACTGTGAGTCAGTGGAGATGGAGAATGATCCCTACAGCTTAGGGCTTTGGGAGCCCCCTTGAATGGAAGGGGACATAGGAGTAATGTTTCTCTGATTGACTGTTCTACTAAACACACTTGGGAATTTGACACTTGGGGCAGTAGCCAGAGATGCTGTTCTGGCTCCTCACACCTGAAACTCCTGGCAGGCAGTGGGTACTGCTGGGTACTTCTGACTCAATCTTGTCCAACTAGGTGAGTCCTTCATGTTTCTTGCTGTCCAAGCAGAACCTCACAGCTCTCCTGAACTGGTTCCAAATTTCAAGGAGAGAAGATCACTCCAGCAAAAGGTTATGCAGACTTTGAGACTGTAGCTTAGGAAGATATAGGTAGAGAGGAAGGACCAGGAGAAGGTGGAGTGGGCCTACAGTGACTGCCAAGGTCTGAGCAAAAGAGCAGTTTTTTTGTATCCATTCAGACACTCAGCAATTTCCTGCATTGTTCCTGCAATCAGCATCTCCACCTGCTTTTACTTAACCATTTCCTGTTTACAGCTTCCAAAAACTTTCTGGTGAAATCACTAATCTGCCACAAGATCAGTCTTTATGGTTCCTTTTGAGCAGGCTTCACTGACTTTTTTTTCCTCTGTCTTCAGTACACAGATCTTTCAGACTGAGACATTGTGTGCTGCGTGTGCATGTCTGCATGCATGTGTGGTTGCACTCAGTAGTCATGTCAGGAAACCACGTGCTTGCTCGTTAGTTCTTTCTCTTAATATATGCCCCTTTTTTCCTTCTAATGCTTCCTGGTTTTTGCAAATTTGAGCAAAGAAACAAAGAGTAGCACTGAGGGCTGGTGCCTCTTTCTGTACAATAGAGGGCTCCAGATATTTAGAGGAAGGACTCTTCCCATTACTTTCAAGATCTAAGTGCTCTCCCACTAATGAGGAATTTGTTCTCTGCATAGCTTGCCCATGCTGCAAATTATTTTCTATATTTGAAAACAGTGAGGCAATTTCTTCTAGTCTATTGTTCAGTTTCTCAGACATGAAAGGCAAGATGGAGGAGAAGGAAGGGTGAACCAAAGAAAAAGAAATCTTCTTCTTCTTACAGTGTAGATGGCTCCCACAAGTGCCCATCACACACTTAGTCATGTCTTGCAGAAATCACTAGAAATGCCTGCACGCTTCAAGTCTACTCTCCTTAGCTATATTGCAAATAACACTGCAGCCACCACTAAAACAAAATTTATTTTTCACTGCTTTTCCTGTTTGCTTACTGTTTTTATTTCTCTTCTGAAGCAATGAAAATAGATTCTTATGTTTCCTCTCTGATTCTCATGCTCTTGCGCAGTGCTGCAATGTTTGGGTTGCGGTGAGCACTGCAGGGGAATGTTCTCTTCTTAAAATAAATCATGGAAACATTTCTGTTGGAATCAGGGCTTGTAGAAGTTTAATTTTTTTAAAAAAAGAAGAATGTCAGGCCAATTTTGGCTTGGCACTCTGTGCCTTTAGAGGGACAGATTTCTGATGCATGTCAGTGTGTATGTACTGACATGTGCCTGTGTGCGTGTGTGTGTGTATATGTACATACATATACATACACACACACCCCAATATATGTGCCAGTTACACAGGTATAGCTGAGCACTGAAATCATCCTGTAAGACAGAGCTGCAAATTCCTTAACTATCTCTGCTGCAAGTTAGTGTAAGTCAGGATGCTTTCTCTGTCAACTTAGGTGTAGAAGGAGTTGATCTCTAAGAGTGCACCAGCACTGCTGCTGAGCTGTTTCACACTTCGGAAATGAATTTGATGCTGTCACACTCTCACAGGTTTCTGGATATTTCAAGAATAACGCTAAATCCCCACTCCCTGCTTTAACTGTGACCTAAGCACGCAGCGGTATCACTTCTGTATGGGTTCTAAGGGATGGTCTGGGTATCGCTGATGTCCAGGCAGCCGTCTGCTGTAGGCATAGCACAACCCCACTTAGATCAGAGTTTGCTGAAGTATCCTTCAAGCTGTTTGTGAGCAGCTTTTAAACTTCCATCAGGGAAAGGAAGCAGGAAAGGACTTCTGCACAGAAATCTCTTTCAGATTGGCCCAAGTATGTAAAATAGTTACTTTGGTTCCCATCCAGCACAATTCATTCAATATTTTGTGTCGGGGTGCTTGTCATCAGTGGCATTTGCCCAGGGTGAGTCATACCTACCCAAGCAATGATCTGAGAGAGCCCTCAAATATTCCTTATTTTCATTTTACAGGGTACAGCCCTGGTAAATTCATGATCATATTGGACCACACAGCACTTTTGAGAGCAGCTCCTTTTCTTCTAACCAGATTTCAGCCCAAGAGGCAACTACTTCCAGATTTCAGCCCAAGAGGCGACTACAAGAGATTCTTTGGTTCAGTGTTCATCTTTGTTTTCCAGATGTTTCTTTCACCACGCTGCTTTCTGGTTATACTGTAAATTTGGGTACACTCAAGATATTTTTGCCTTCCTCCTCCACCCCAAAATTAAAGGAAAGCTGAATTATATGAAAATGAAGTGAGAACTGAGACTCTCAAGGAAAATGGCAGGAGGTGTAGAGGACCATGCAAGACTCTTTCCAGGAAATGGGCAGAAGGTTCATCACATGAGTCACTGTAACTTTAGATGACTAAATTCTTGAAGAATAAACTGTCAGGAATATGATACTGCTCAGGACAGTTCCGGAGGGAGACGAAACCTTCTTAAATAGCTGTTGTTTGGCTTTTTGTTTGTGATTCATTCCTGAGGAAATTGCTGAGTCTCTGGCCAAGAACAGGGCGGGGTGACGTGCAGGCAGTGCCAGCCCTCCTCGGTAGAGGCAGCAGGCAAGGCATGCTGGGTTGCACATCCCGCTGCTCCTGGCACCAGCTCTCCTGCCCAAGGAGCTGAGAAGGGATCAGGAGCAC